TAGGTAGACCTTCTGAGGCCATTCTAAATAGCCTACCCAAGAAGGGCTTAAAAAGTGCTTCCCTGCGTGAATTCTAGAAGGGATTTTTCTATTTACAATTACGCGAAAATGTAAATTTATAATCACGCAGGTTCTGTAATTCACTTCCGTGTGAATTTCAACCCCTGCCAATTTGAATTCAAAGCGTAGTTGATTGATAGCGAATTGCGGAACCTATCTGATTATTTAAAATTATAAATGAATTTAAATATGCATTTTAGATTGCAATAAAACACTTGATAGGAACTTTAAATATATATGTACCTTATGGAAGTATGGTTTTTATGAATTAAAGAAGTAGCTCCTCCAAAAGGCCATCTGAAATACGTCCTATAATAGCCCTCTTTGGGTAGCAAAAGCAGAAGGGAAGGAATGCAGATTAAAAGGCCTCTTGACTCCAAAGAACGCCTTTTGGCAGGGCTTTTAGCTCCTGAAATTATCTACTGGGTACTAAAACGACGATTTCCCGGTGCTCCCATTATCGCTTATCTTCAGTAACCATACTATTGCAATTGTTCGTATAATTTTACTCATTCCGCTGATAATTGTTGATTTATTGTTTATACATGCTCGCTGATTATTGTTTATTACATTTTTATTTGCCTATACGCTTAAAAACAATCGTGCACCCATTTTATCTGCCACAGTTGCTATCGACCAATCGTCGGTTACGTAAATTTAGTTCAGATTTCGTATTACAGTTGCTTTTAATTAAATTGAATTAAGTTATATTGACTTAGGGGCTAAAACGTGCTTACATAGAGATATACAATTATTTAAAAAGGCAGCAGTTCGCAGTTGCAGCCCAGAAACGACTTGAGTCAATTGTAAGCGTAGCTTTTTGGAATAAGACGTTCTTTTAACGTTCGCTTAACATAGACAACTAAGAAATGTCTGGACCTTTTGAAATGTAAAAGTAATATCTAATACTGACAAAAATTAAATATTTAAATATATTTATAACTGCTACGTAGCAATTACAATTGAACAAAATATAAATATTTATTGATTGCACATATTTATATAAGGCAAATCTCACAAACTTCGAATTTTTTGTGAAAATTTTTTTTTCTTAAATCGTGAGAACATGTCATTTCAGCTGCTAGAATACAAAATACATCGTGGTGTAACGCAATGCACCTTACGTTTTTAATGTTTTTTACGCGTTTTGTTTTGTGTAAGTGGAAAGTGGGCGCAATTTTAGTTCGATTTCGAAAATTTTCAAAATAAAACTTTCTTATGCCAAATCATACTAAGTCTGGTACAAATTGATAAATCGGTTACCAAGTTACACATACAGTGAACCAAAAACTAAGGCGCGACATTTTAGTAAGGTTTGGCTATTTTTCCTTA